GGGGGGGTTGGGCGGTGGGCACGCTGTATCCGATGATTTGCAAGGTCCCTTCCAGCCCCTAACAACCTATGAATAAGTCAAATAAGCATGCTAAATCAGATCACATTCTATTTAAGGCATTGGAAAATTTTCCAATTCAAAATTTTCCAGAAAACCCACATCTCTGCTGCTAAGACCTCTTCCCACTGCAAAGTGACCACTCTGTACCAGCCTCAAAAATCTTTCACCAGCTCCCAGTCTCTGCACAAATAGTTAGTCTTTCTTCCCACCCCCAATTCCCAGGCCCAGTCCCCCTATTCAGCCAGATCCAAACTTCCTCCACCAACTCTAGTTTCTGTTCCTGCCCTAATCGAGTCCCAGCCCACTCCTCTTCTTTCCCTTAATCCAGACTCCACTCACACATAGGAGCTCTGAGAGGATGGCATCTAGGCTGCAAAAGCCCCAAGCTGCGAAGTAACACCAGCTGTGAAAGCCCCAAGCTGTTCAACAAAAATATAATCCTCCCAGATTTTAACCACTAAACTTTTAAGGAATCTCTGCTGAACCTGTGCAAGCAGATTCCTCTCCCCCGCCCCACAGCAACACTTAGAACTTGGTTAAATTTAAGTGAATTTTTGCATGTATGACAAAGAGCTATGCCTGACATGGAAGCCACACCAAAGAAACATAAGCCTGTCCAAAGCAGGAGGATACTAGGGCTGTTTAAAAAGTTTTGGTGATCTTTTCTAACACTGCAAAACATTTTTCCTTTGCCTCAAACAGCTGACCTCGTTTGGGTGATATTTCTCCCCAAAGAGCTACTAAAGGCAGACAATCAAAATTAAGAGTCTTAAGCCAAATAGTTAAAGCTCAGCAAAACTGTAAGCAATGTTAAAAAAACAAAACAAAAAACCCCACACTTTAATGGGAAGTGTCAGGCCCCCATGACAGAGTTCTACCAATCCCTCCCACATACAACGCATCATAAACAGTTGGAAATTTCAGCAAATAAGTGAGCCAAGTGGGATCTTGATAACACTTCTACACGACACTTGTAGAGAACTGCCTAAGAACCATGCTTAACGAATATGAAATTCAGAGACTTTTGCAGCAAGCATTTTTCTATAGCTCTGGACAAGCCCAAAGAGAATCTTTGGAGGGTGATAAACATGGATTTCTATTAGAACAGCATTTTTCAACCTGTGGGTTGTGACCCAAAAGTGGATGAAAGGGTCGCAAACATTACCAGAAAAAAATGGAAAACCACGGATTTTCTTCTTTAAAGGAGCAAGGGGCTGCTTGGGGCTGGGGAGGAGTGGGAGGAGGGGAATTAGGCAACAGGCACCACATGCATGTATGCATGCACATGTGCACGTGGCAACCAGACAGCGTGGAAAATAGCTCCTGAAGCTCCCTGCAGGTAAGTCTATGGGGGCACAGGGTGCACAGGCAACACACTGGGAGGTATGGAGAGGGGGGAAGGTGTCCCCCCACAGATTTGTGTCAGGAGTGAGGGGCACCAGCAATTTGCATTGTTGAATTGCACAATGATGAGTGTCACTTGGGAGTAATGGACAGCCACATGCCGATACTGCTGTTAATGTTTTCCTGTTGATTTCTCTCTTTAAAATTAAAGTCTGTTGAGTTGCTTTCACTTCTAGTGTGTAACAAGTATTTTGGGGCCAAAATACTTGTGCGTTTTCTACTTTAAACTATTTATTGGGTTAGGACTGGTCATTGATGTTTACAATGGGTTCTGGGTGCAAAAAAGGTTGAGAACCACTGCAGTAGAAGGCAGCTTTGTTGTCCCTAGCTCTAGACCCATTATCCTCCTAGATTTACTTTAATCATAAGCTCCCTGGGACATACCTCACTTTTTTGTTTTGTATTAGTACAGCAAGTAGCATAAGATGTTCCTAGTCCCTGACAAGGGTGCTATATGTTATGGTAATATAAACAATAAAATTAAATGCCCGATCTTTTCTATTAAGGCAAGAAGAGGTAACATAAGCAGAATGCTGTCCCTAATCTGAACTGGTTTTGCTAAAGCTCTCTTTCTAAAATTCCAGTCCAAATCATTTGACAAAGATATAAGCTACTAAAAACAGTGTCACATATTCAAGCATGAAGGAAGAAAATGTAACATGCAAGTTATATGCTGGATAATACATCAGCACAAATCTGTAGACACAAATCTGTATTCAAAATAAATATCAGCTGAACAACGCTAATTATTTAATAATTTGGGGTTTTCCTTGTTCTGTTAACAGAAAGAAGGCCCCAAACCAAATGTTTGCTTTCCAACCTCTCCAATACTCCCCAGCTGTTCCATCTCCACAATTAAGGAATTGACAGAGAAAATCTTCTCTTGAGCACGGTTCTGTTTCTGAAATAACATGGGTCTGATGAATGTGTATGACTAGTCAGATGACATGCAGTGCTCCAACAAGTCAAAGGGGGCTCACTGAACTACTATACGCATTCCTGTGATCAGCCAGGTAGTCCTTGGGGAAAGGAACAGAAGTGGAACTTGGGAAAGCAAGTAACACAGAGAAACTTGCTAGTGCAATCTTCTGTCTGTCATACCCGAGCCACCAGTTTCTTTGCCTTGTACCTCTCCATTCTTCCCTTCCTCTGCCCCCTTTCTTGGGACATGAGCTCCTCCACCCATAGCTCCATTTCTCCAAAGCGTAACTGCTCTTGTGGTACCCAGCCTTCTAGAAACCTCATTTTAGTCTTCTCCCACCCATTTCCTGTATTATCTATCTCTGCATTTGAACTGATTCTCTTTTATTATTATTATTTTAAAAAAAGCCCATGTGGGAAAAGCCTTTTAAATTGAATGTGCATGAAGGTTTATGCCAAGTCACTCCGCCTGCTTTAGAGACATTTTTCAAACTCTGAAGCAAACTACAACCTGTAATAAAGTCCTAGTAGAGCTTTAATTCTAGTTCTCTGTTAAGGGCAGTCTCTATGACGAGACATTTAAACAACCGAATCAGCTATCCAGAATGCGAGTAGTGTGGAGTTAGGGCTGAGACATAAAATACATGACAACAGCAAACTCCCTAACACCCCTTCCCCTACCTTGCAGGTTAAACACATTTTTTTAAGTGAAAACTTGGGACACTGGGCAGGGAGTCCAAGGGCTGATCTACACATTTTCTCTCATATTAACTGCACTAGTTCAGAAACTCTAAGAGGCTTAAAACCTGATATAGTTCAACTGATGTAACCCCTAACATGAACAATTTATTTTGCATAAACACCTTAAATGTTGTTACAACTTACTGTATGATTTATCAGTAAAGAAACCCATATTTAGAGCAATGCAAATGGAACTGTTTTGATAAGGGATACAGAACAGTTGGCAAGGTGAATTGGCAAAAGAAAAGGGTATCACCTCCCCAGTTCTGTCCCCCATCACTTTTCTGTTTTCAGAAGGAAAAGCAACATTGAACTGTAAAGGGCAAAGCAAGAAATTATTACTCCTCCTGCTGATCCTTCACTTCCAGCCGACTCTCCCCCATGTCTAGCTAGCACTGATTCGACATACCCTCGACAACCCAATTCACCTTATTTCCCATTCCCACGCAGGCAAAACTCTCCAGACCTCTCTCGGCTCCATGCAACCCAACCCAACCCAACCCAACCCAACCCAACCCCCCATCTTTTTGGAAATTTCTACACGCCGTATCCCCTTGCCCAAGGACTTCTCTTCCTACTAAACTTTTCCCTTTTTCTACTGCTGACCTTTAAACTCAACACATTCTTCTGACATTAAGAGCATAAAGTCTTTCCCCTCACATGCTAGAACACCGAAACACTTAGCTCAAATAGCCTTATTTTGCTGGGCTTGGTAAAATAGCAGCAGAGGAAATATGCACATGACCAGAAACTGGCCCATGGAAGTTTATTGCTCTGTGGCTCCTTCCTCCTCTGTCTCTAACCTCTACGCTGCTTACCCAGGAGCTCCTCTCCAGAGGCTGTCAGATACACTGCAGCTCCCAACCCTGAAGCTCCCCAGTAGGCAGCAGGTAATAGTGCATCTTGCAATATACCACATGCACTTCACCACTACAACAGCAGCAGGGAGGCTCAGTATCGTTAGCCCCTAGTCCAGGGGTGGGAAATTATTTGGGCCTGTGAGCCAAGTAAGGAGTTTTGCTGAGTTGCTGTGGGCTGGGTCAGCAGCATCCCCTCTTCCCCCTGCACAACAGCTCACAAAAACTCCTTATGTGGCCTGCAGGCAGGCAGGGAGTAGTGTGCAGGATGGGCAAGCAAGGTGGAATCATGGGATGGGTTCCCAGGGCAGTGATAGCATGAGGCCGGGGCTGAGCCACAATCTGCTGCCTGGATGGCCCTGTGATACACGCAGGTTTCATGGGCAGGGGCATGCAGGCACTGGATTGTGGCTCTGCCCCAGGCCCGGGTCTAGGCCTCATGCTGTCACCACTCTAAGATCCTGACCCCAGCCAAGGACACAGCTCCCTGCCCACCCACCTCCCCTGCCACACTGCATGCCCTGCCTGCACCACTCCTGGCTGGTCTCCATGGAGACCCCAGAATCATGGGGCAGTAACAACACAGGACTGGTGCCCAGGGCAGAGCAGTGATCCACTGCCTGCATGCCCCTGCAAAATCCCTCAGTGAAGCAGACTTTGCACACCCCTGCCCTAGTCACTAGCTGCCTCAGCAGCAGTGTCACAGGATAACCTATTTCCTGAAGGTTCAGGAACATGCACTGAAATCTTTACAGGTGGATTAACCATATTTTTAAATTTTTGCTGATAGATTAAACTAAAAAAAAGAAAAGAAAAATCCAAATTCATTCTGCAGCTGAAAACTTCACACACATGGAAGCTCCTGAAAAGGAAGTACAGACCACCTCTGGCCCAAATTATTCATGAAGGGTAGAGCACCAAGACCCCCAACTCCACACTGTATTACAGCCACAGTTAAGCCCTGCTCCCCACCTGTATGTCTTGCCATCCTTGTGCTGGTCCTCATCGTCCTCGTTTGATAGCACGAATGGGTCACTCATCTCTGGCAGCCCCGACTCCTGCAATCGCTTCTTCTTGCGACCCCGGGGAGGTTTGGGGGCAACTCCCCCACCCCCTCCACCCCCACCCCCTTCAGAGAGGGCAGCAGTCCCTTTCTTGGACAGATCAGGTACCACCTGGAGGGCAGCCTGGGAACCATGAGGCAGTGCGGAGACAATCATGGGAGCTGAGATGGGGAAGGTTTGGGCAGAGGCAGCTGTGGTCACCAGGGAACCCGAGGGAGAGGTGATCACCAGACCAGGACCTGTAGGGAGAGTGAAGTGGGTAAAGTCAAACATCCATCCTTCTAAGAGACATCCAACCTTCTCAACTCTTGTGTTCCAAAAACAGGAGCTCAAAATCAACCCATAACCCTGATCCACAAGGAAGCAGGACTACCCTCTCAAATCCTCCCCCACCCTCTGTTACCAGAGGTCAAATAGGTATCCATAACAAGCAATATGGTGAGAATCCCTCGCGACACCCATCACTTCAAGGATCAGAATTAATCTACTGGTTCCTGAGAATTTTCAGGACCTATCCACTTCATCCCCTTCAGACAATGGAGTCACCCTCCCATTCTATCAGAAGCCTCTGGTGCCCCCTTACCTGCTGCCATGAGCCCAGCAGACTGTACTGGCACCACAGTGATGTTCTGAGTCACGGGGGCCTGGCTGTGTGGGGTCAGCTGCTCTGGCTTGGTGTCTGAGTCCATGGAGATGCCGGTGGATAGAGCCACAGATGTGGGCACTGTCAGCAGGGTTGGGTAGTGGGGGGGAGCCAGGCTGCAGCCCTTCTCTGCAGGCAATAGTTGTTCTTTCATCTTGTTAATGAACATGGTGTTTTCAATCTAAATAGGTAAAGAACAGAATTATTTCAGAACACTCCAGAGTTGGCCTCTCCCAGCAGCATGAGTAAGAAGAGGGGTGGAAACACTCGCTGCAGGCGAATTTCCAGCAAAAAAAAAAAAAAAAGACCAATAGGCCATATTGAAAGACAAAGCTCTTACCTGTCCTGAGACTGTGGGTACAGTTGGCCAGAAGTACGGAGAGGAGTTGAAGTGAGATTCTTCCATCCTAGCTGGGCATGGGGGGGAAGGGGGAAAGACACACACACACACACACACACACACACACACACACACACAAAGAGAGGAACATTAAACCCAGAGAGACTCAGAGACACAGACTAAAGCTGTGACAGCTCTCTGGGATCTCTCCCCTTTCTTATTCAGAGCTCCTCTTCTGATCCTTTTGCTCCACCAGGGAACAAGTCCGCTGCTCACCACTCCCACAGGCCTGGGACCCTGTTAACTACCTCCTAAAAGCTTGACACTTACTGACCTCCACCCAGAAGATGACTAACTCTCCCTCTCCAAAGGATAGCCAATATTCCCAAGTCATCACCTGAGTGTAGGGGGGAGTGTGATGGAGTGAGGAATTATGTTTCTGAAGCTGTGACCCTCCACACATGGAAACAAACATTTTCATCAACATCACCTACAACCCAACCCCTAATTGGTAAGAATTCCAGATACTGCCTATCAGTGTCCATACAACACTAGGGACCATAAACAGCAAGCGGATGTTAGCAGGGTGTTACACATGGGGAAAGACAAGCAAAAAGAGGAAAACAGAATTGCCCAAGATAACAGAGAACCAGCATCAGATCAAGAAATATAATCTAGGACTCCCAGCTTTCTGCCTCCCACTGCTATAGCCACCTGAAATCAACTCCCATGAGAAAGCTGAAAACAGAACTTAAGAGATTCTGACTTTCTTGATGTAGCTGACTCTCAGCACTGGGGAAAGAACCCAGGCAACCTGATTCTAACCTCCCTACTTCATTCATGTTTGACACAGGACCGTACAAGAACCTTGTCTTCTCCACAAGTCACTGTCACTCAATCCCAACTCTCCATCCAATCTGAGGATCAGCAACAAATCAAAAGACAGCCCTCTGAAGATAGGAGGAGCTTAACCTCTGCTGACAGCAATTTCAGGGGACCTAAAACATTGTGCAATCTAACATAGAATCCACTCCCTAAGGCAATATGCTTAGTTAGTGGTTTCACAGGCAATGAAGACTGCTATTTAAAAAAACTAAAGACATCCCAATACAAAAGTCATGATGAGAGTGAAGGCTGACAACATTCATTTACACATATAACAAGTGACAGTTAAACTCCGTACAATAAAAGCTATGCTTGGAGAAAATCCAATATGCAAAGCAAGGTGCTTATGACTCAGGAAAGTACGGAGGTTCCATAGTTTCATAGTTTCTAGGGTCGGAAGGGACCTG